GGGCAGACGCTCAATGCAGGAGCTGCCCCCTGGTGGTCAGTGCACTCCCACAGGGGGAGCACTGCTTAGCCAGAAGCCGAGCTCACGGCTGGCAAGCGCAGCAGTGGTGGTGGGAGCCTCTCCTGCCTTCGCGGCAGCAGCGGCAGCGCTAAGGATCAGTGGGCCAAGTGGTAAGGAGCAGCGAGCAGGCAGGTGGTAAGGACCAGGGGTCCCGGACTGAGAGAGGACGCAGGCTGGGCTGAGGGACCCTCTCCCCACAGTGCATGAATTTTGTGCACCGGGCCTCTAGTCCTATTAATAAAAGCCCAATATGCTAAGTGTCTAACTAGTCAACCATTCAACCAGTCGCTATGACACGTACTGACCACCAGGGGGGCAGACACTCTGACTGGTAGGTTAGCTTGCTGCTGGGGTCCAGCCAATAGAGACTGGGTGACATGGGCTGGGCATGCACTGGAGCCCTCCTGTGATTGCTCCCCGGCCCTGATCGTGGGGTCCCTTGGCTTGGCCTGTGCCCTCTCACAATCTGGGACCCCTCGGGGGATGTTGGAAAGCGAGTTTCATCCTGATCCCCACAGGCCAGGCTGAGGGACCCCACTGGTACACGAATCCATGCACCAGGCCTCTAGTTCTGACATATTGTGTTATCAAGATAAGGCATCACTGTTGAACCAAAGCTGGATATAACCCAATGTTTTCAGAGGGGACTGTGGACAACTAATTAGAGTGTGGAAGGAAGAGGGGTAGTGGGGAGAACGTGAAGCTCCTGAGGATATACTAATAGCCAAGCTGAGCAGCATCCTGGTCCCTCAATGCGGAAGCCAGGAATTGGGCTAATAATTGCGCCTGCTATTCTCTATCTATCAGGTCACTTCATTGTGTAGTAATTAAGATTTAAGCATGAAGACCAATAATAACTACTTACATGAGAGACCGGAGACCATACTAACTGGATAACAGGTCCGGGAGTATTAATATAACCAATTGGTTTATAATCCTTTTCCACTTCAAAGAAGAACACAGTTTTATCTTTACTCTAAGAAAAATAAGAAATATCAGCCAAATATATATTATTATAAAATCAATTCCATAGAACACAAAGCAGCATTTATTAGCTATCATATATTTACTGTATACTTATTCCTACATGCACACTTATAACTACAATGATCATGTATTCCCAGATTGTTCTGAAAAAATTCTTATTGCAAATATTTACTTCATTTTCCCCATAAAACACTTGATAAACCATGTATTCCAGTATTTGGTTCTGAAAAAACAATGACCATACCTGTACATAAGATTAATTCAGAAAAAAATGTGCCCCAATGCCAATGCTCACCTATTAATGCACAAAGAATTTACATAGTCATTCTCTTCATTCTTCTCTTCTATTATGGGCATATACCTATGCTATGAAATATTGATATAGATAAAACATCTTGCATGACTTCCCAGCTGAAATTTTTTATTACTTTAAAATAAACATTAGAACTCAAGTTGTAAGAATATTTTAAAATGTCATGCACAGACCATGCTGAAAGAATATGAATACAAAGAAAGCAAAATATGGGTATGTTCTTAGAAATGAGCATCACCAAATAAGGCATCATTAAGTAGGAAGATTAAGGCAAGGTTAACCATCAAACATCAATAGAAAACAAAGAAAATCTACTACTCACCCCTGTGGCTAGAATTTCTCCATCACGTTCAAAAGCTAAAGCAGTAACCTGAGCAGTATGGGGTTTGAAAACATGTTTCAAATGAAGATCTGCATCTGAATATTTCTTCCGTCCTGCAAAAATTGTGAGCTCTTTTGGATCATAAAGTTCAAGAACTCGAACAACCCCATCTTCAAATCCTATAATAATCTGTGCTCCGGTGAAGCTTATCTTAGACAAAAATTAAATGCAAGAAATCTGAAATTAGTTGATTAGGGAAGTTATACTATGTTACATCTGTATTTTATTTATTAGTAGACTTAAATCATTTAACAATGGCTGCCCATTGGTAATTTCTTCTTCCACTTTCTGGTAACCTCCATCTATTCTAGGATGACTATGAAATGGGCAAACAATGGCAGTTCAACCATGCATGAGCAAATGTTGGAGGATTGTCTGTCAATTACATGTCAGGCGCCTACCACCAGCAACTCAAGAATGAGCATACGCAGTCTCAGTCCCTGCTTTGACAGAATGTATGATCTAGTGGGGAAGACAGACATTAATTAATAAATCACACAAATGAGTGAGGAATTAAGGACTGAAATAAGTGCTAAAGGAAAGAAACTTATTCTCTGAGAGCATATAACAAAGAAAGCTGACCTAGACTGAGGACTTTCTGAAGGAAGAGATGGTGGAGCTGAGATCAGAAAAAGGCCCAGGAATGAACGAACAGGAAGATGGCAGAAGCACTTCTGGGAGAGGCTGTAGCTTGTGCAAATGTCATGTGTCAGTAAAGAATGTAACTCAAGAAAAAAGTTATAATTTGACTAGAGCAGACTGAGTAAGGGAGCAATGCATCCACAAGAGGCTAGCGAGGGAAATAAGCAGGCACCATGTCACAGTAGGCATCGTCTTCATCCCAAGAGTAGCAGGAAGTCAACAAAAGGTTTTTAGTGGTGGGCTGGGGGTGGGCAGTGGCATGATCAGATTTGCTATTTTAGAAATGTCATCCTCACTGCTGTGTGTAAGGTAGATCTGAGATGGCCTGATGGAATGCAGGGCGACCTTTGGGAGTCCTTTGAAGAGATGACTGCCATACTCTAGAAAGGTGATGGTGGTAACGTGGTCTGAGGTGATGTAGTGGAGAAGAGGGACATAGACACATTTTAGTAAAAGTATAATGGCCCTATTGGTAATGAATGGACATGGGGAATGAGGCAGACGAAGGTGTCAATGACAACTAAGATATATACTGAGTCAGGAAACACTGGAAGAAGCCAGGTGTGTGTGTGGTTTGTTGCTGCTATTGTTTTGGAGGGAGGATAGCTGGGGGCAAGCAGAAAGTCATTAATTTAGTCTTGGCTGTGTTGAGTTTGGAGTCCCCTGAAGATCTCAAAGTAGAGATGACATATCATCTGTAGTTTAGAGAAGTCTGGGTTGGGAATATAAATCCAGCAATGCCTGAAAGTGCTAAATATGCTGTCTTAAAGGCATTCAGGAGAAGGGCAATAGCCTTGGTATTCTCTCTTTAAAAAAAAAAAATACATTTGTATTGATTTCAGAGAGGGAAAGAAAGATAGAAATAGAAACATCAATAATGAAAGAGAATCATTGATTGGCTGCCTCCTGCACACCCCACACTGGGAATCGAGCCTAAGACCAGGGCATGTGCCCTGACCAGGAATCAAACTATGACCTCCTGGTTCATAAGTCAACGCTCAACCACTGAGCAACACCAGCCAGGCATCCCTGGTATCTTTAGAGCAGCAGTCGCCAATCTTTCAGATCCCATGGACACCAGACCACTGGTTGGCGATCGCTGTTTTACAGCACAGTGATCATGCCTGAGGCCAAGCAATTAGGAGAATATTGGGAATAAGAAAACTGTACCCCACTCAACTCCAGTGGAATGTTGTTAATTCAACAAATATTTACTAAATTTCTAAATGTACCAGTAACTGTAGAGGCCCTGGAGGTACAAAGAGTAGGTATGATTGTCACTATGAAGAACACAGTCTTGCCCTGGTCAGTGCTCCTCAGTGGTTAGAGTGTTGGCTCATGTACCAAAGGGTCATGGGTTCAATTGCTGGTCAAGGGCACATATCTGGGTTGCAGGTTTGACCTCCAGCCAGTCAAGGAACATGCAGGTCTCTCTCACATCAATGCACCACGCCCCCTCTCTCTCTCTCTCTCTCTCTCTCTCTCTCTCTCTCTCTCTCTCTCTCTCTCTTCCTCTCTTTCTAAAAATCAATGAAAAAAATATCCTCAGGTGAGGATTAACAACAACAAACAGCCTATGGAAAGGATATATAATAAAGCAAATCATCTTAGTATGTTGTGCTAAGTGCTGTAACAGAAGTATATACACAATCCTTAACAAATAAACAAAAAAAAAAATGACAGGAAGGAACACTTGGCTGTATTTGAAGGTGGGGTCACAAAGGGCTATGCAGAGGAGATGATGTTTGACCTTAGCTGAGTTATCAAAAATGATGTGGAGTTTTCCAGAAGGCAAGAGAGTATGGAGAAGGGGCATTTAATTCTAGTATAATATCCATATGATCATTACTTGGATGTAAGGCTAAAACAGGAAACATTTTATGGACATCACATAACCATCTCAATAAATGATTCAATTACTTGGGCTGTATTTTAAAGACTTCAGTAAGGGTGTAAAAAGATTAGAATAAAGAGTGAGCCAGGTTTGGTAACCCAAATATTTGTGGTTTCTACTTGTTTTAGCCTAATCATTGTTCTGCCTCTATTCCCTGGCCTAAATTCTCCTTCTGATCTTGATCCCATCATGAAATTCCCCTCCACTCCAGTCATCTCCACATCTACTTTAAGCTTGAAATATTTTGTATTTTATTTCAACCCAAAACAGTAAGGATAAAACATTCCCAAAATACTCCCATGACATTTTAAAAACATGGCTGTAAATTCTTTGACATGCCTCCCATAGAGCGATGGGGTTTAAATCCCTCCCCCTTTAATCTGTGGCTTCCAAGGCTGGAAAGGCCAGTAGCTTCTGCCTTGTCTGTTGGGACACTAGATCTTGGAGTCCCGATCTTCTGTGTAAGAAGTGTGTGACTGCCCTGAGGCCACCATACTGTGATGAAGCCCAAGCCATAGGAAGGGATATTAGGTAAGCACTCCTGCTGACATCCCAGCTTAGCCCAGCCTTCAACTCAGGTGCCAGACTTGTAATACAGAAGCCTTTAGATAATTCCAGGACCCAGCCATGCAAGTCTTCCCAGCTGAGGTCCCCAAAACCATGAAGCAGTGATAACCCATCCCTGCTGCCACCTGTCTGAATTCCCACTCTACAGAGTAAGTGAGCAAAACAAAATGATGGTTGCTTTATACCACTACATTTTGTGATAGTTTGTTACACAGCAATAGGTAACTAGAACAACTCCCTGTCTCTTCCTGATTTTCTTCTATAGCTCTTATCATTGTCTGACATATCACAAATTTACTTGTTTATTGTCTGTCTCTGCCCCTTGTCTCCCACTATTACTGTAATCTGTAGCAAGGGCAAGTATTTTTGTCTTTGTTCATTGCTACAGGCCTAGAATCCAGAACAAGGCCCAGCACCTAGTAGGCATGCTGGAAATATAAATAAAATGAATGAAATCAGAGCCAGGCAGATAGAGGATATATACAAAAAGTTCTGTTGTGTAATTACTTTGTAATATGGAACTATTACTAATCTGCAGGTAGAATAAAAATAGATTTTCATTAAAACAGGAACAAAATCACAATAGTAAGGCCATCATATGATATCTATCACATTCTAAGTGAATAAACTAACTTAAAATGATTATTCTTCTCTGAAATCCAGAATTGAAAAATATCTGTATTTCTAAAAAATAGCACTGTATACTATATTTATTAATAAAATCTAATAGAAGTTCCTTATTATAAACTTACCAGACGAGGTACCCAAGCAAGAGCTGTGCCTCCTTGTTTGAATTTCACTTGAGTCAAAAAATTTTTGCTAGCAAAATCATAGATTCGAACAGAACCTATAGAAAGATAGTTTTAAAAGAAACAAATGTATATGTAATCCTTTTTTAAATAACCTTGGCTCACTTCACATGTTGAGAATTTTAACAAGAAATTTCATAAATAACTACATCCACTGATAATCCAATAACCTTTCCTTAGTCAAAAATTTCTATATATGCCCTTGCTGGTGTAGTTCAAGGGTTAGAGTATCAGTCCACTCACCGAAGGATTGAGAATTTGATTCTGGTTGGGGAGCATGCAGGAGGCAACCAATCAATGTGTCTCTCTCACATCAATGTTTTTCTCTCTCCCCCTCACTTCCACTCTCTCTAAAAATCAATGGAAAAAATATCCTCAGGTGAGGATCAACAACAACAAAAAAATTTCTATGTATAGTGTTGATTGGATAACTTATAAACATGTGTAATACAGAAGACAAGTGGGAGTTCTGGTTTAGATGGCGGTGTAGGTAAATGCAGTAATTGCATCCTCCTTTAACCACATTAGAATTACAACTAAACTACAGAAGAACCATCATTCTGAACTGCCTAAAACCAAGCTGAACATAAGTCCTACTACTAAGGATATAAGAAGCCACATCAAAACTGGTAGGGGCAGAGACTCAGAATGGGTCCCACACCCAGGTGTGGCAGATAAAAATCGGGATTGATATTTCCAGCTGTAGAGGACCCCCTAAGGAACAAGCAGTCCCAACTCCATCTCAGGCCTTCCAGCCCAGGATTTCAGAGCTAGAAAGAGAAGTCCTCATTAACTTCAGGCTGTAAAAACCAGCTTGGGTTATGGCTGAGTGAGACAGAGTCTCAGGCGTTCCCCTGAAAGGGCCCACACACAGACTGACTTGCTCTGAGTTCCAGTGCCTGGGCACCAGGGATGTATAGGAGGGACTGAGTTATGTGGCCTGGAGGTAAGAATTGGAGGGGCAGCTTTCTCCCAAACAGAAGTGCTGGCAGAGGCCATTGTTTCTTTTCTGAGCCCTGCTCCCACTGAGCCAGCAGGCAAGTGCCATATTTGAGTCTCTGTCAACTTGTCCCCATTTGCCCCACCCTGGCAATTACCTGAAACCCCACCCCACCCAACTTGCACACCCAACCCAAGCCATTTCCAGTGGCTTTTCCATACAAATGACCTGTCTTGGATGATACTTCAGACTTTTCTAAAATCTCTCAAGCAAGCAACATCTGACCTTTCCCTTGCTATGTACCTCTTGTAAGTGGCTTTAGGCCCAGCACTAGTGATAGCTGGCCTTGGTTCATAGGTTGGTCTCTCCTGGGCATCTCCAAACCCAGCATAAGTAGCAGTCATCTGCAGGTCATTGTGTAGCTCATGCCAGGAGGCCCTGGGCAGGACACAGGTTGACCTTGGCCTGTACCTCCCAGGAGGTCTCAGAGCCAGTGCACCTGGTGAACAGCTCCAGACCACATAAAAGCACAACCCAACCTCCTCCATGAGAACATACTTAAGGGATGGACTCAGCAGAAACCAGAGTAATGATGAAGTCCTGTTCTGTGGGGCCAGCCCCTGTAGAGCTTATCCTCCATGGTGATCAAAGCCCTAATCTAGTGAATAAAATAGACATGCAAGTCCAGGAAGCACAGACAGTCCCAAACAAGATGAACCCAAAGAGGCTCCACACCAAGACACATTATTATTAAAATGCCAAAGATTAAAGACAAAGAGAGAATCTTAAAAGCAGCAAGAGAAAAGCAGTTAATTATCTACAAGGAAGCTCCCATAAGACTGTCAGCTTATTTCTCCACAGAAACTTTTCAGACCAGAAGGAATTGGCATGAAATATTCAAAGTGATGAAAAGCATAAACCTACAACCAAGATTATAATACCCAGCAAAGTTATCATCTAGAATTAAAAGACAGATAAAGAGCTTCCCAGAAAAAGCTAAAGGAGTATATCACCACCAAACCAGTACTACAAGAAATGTTAAAGAGTTTTCTTTAAGAAGAAGAGTGAAAAAAGATCCAAACATGAATAATAAAATTGCAATAAATACATATCTATCAACAAGTACTTTAAAGGCAAATGGATTAAATGATCCAATCAAAAGACATACGGAGGCTGAACTGGTAACAAAACAACACCCTTACATATACTGTTTATAAGAGACTCACTTCAGAATAAAAGACATACACAGACTGAAAGTAAAGGTATGGAAAAGGATATTTCATAAAAATGGAAGCAGAAATTAAAAAACTGGGATAGCAACACTTATACCAGACAAAATAGACTTTAAAACAAAGGTTATATAACAAGAGACAAAGAAGGACCCAACAATTTCACTTCTAAATATTTATCTGAGAAACCCAAACACTAAATTGAAAAGACATATACATCCATATGTTCATTGCCACATTATTTACAATATCCAACATATGGAAACAACCTAAGATGCAGCAATAAATGAATGGGTAAAGAAGAAGTGGTGCATATATAAATTGAATATTACTCAGCCATAAAAAAACAATGAAATCTTGTCATCTGCAACAACATGGATGGACTGAGAGGCTATTGTGCTGAGTCAGACAGAGAAAGACAAATACCATATGATTTCACTTACATGTGGAATCTAGAAAACAAAATAAATAAATAAATAAATCAGAAACAAACTCAGGTATACAGAGAACAAACTGATGGTTACCAGATGGGAGAGGGCTTCGGAGACTGGGTAGAAAAGGTGAAGGAATTAAGAAATACAAATTGGTAGTTACAGAACAGTCACAGGAATGTTAAAGTTTAGCATAGGGAATATACTCAACTAGAGGCTTGGTGCATGAATTCGTGCACTAGGAGGTCCCTCGGCCTGGCCTGCACCCTCTCACAACTGTTAATTGACTAGCAGATCAATTTCCCTTGCACAGTCCACACAGATTCCCCATAAGCCGAGAAGGAAGAAAGGAGATAGAAAGGAAAAGAACAGCACAAATGTAGATAAAACCAAAGTGAATAGCACTTTCATGACTGATGTACTGACTGTGTACTCATTTTAATCTCACAGTAACCATGGCTGCTGCATTTTGTGCTCTCTCCCCACCACAAAGACTCATCTCACTGTTATTAAGAGGTTCCACTTTTGGAAAAATTCTCAAATGCTTTTAATCAAACACATACAAAAGATTGTATTGAAAACAAAACAAAAAGGACAGCTATATTTTAATTAAAGTTCCTACTTACAGTCCAAGGCAGTTGTGGCCATAAGGTAAGTGAGAGGAGACATAGCCAAGGCTTCCACGGCTCCAGAATGGAAGGAGAAGAGGCATTCTGGATCTTGTGTCTGATCATCAAAAGACAGAAATTGTATTAGGTCTCAAAGATAGCTTAACGTAGAATTAAGGTCAAGTTTAAAGAAACACAAATAGCACCCTGTAACTACATGTGTGATTTTATCTGAATAGAAATAAGAAAAAGCATTATAGGTTAGAAAAAACGCTGGACTTTGGAATTAGGAGCAATGGAGTACTGGCTGTGCAATTTGCACAAGCCACTTTGAATGCCAGTGTCTATTTCTTCATCAGTAAAATGATAGCAACTGCCTGCCTACTAAATAGGATAGGAGTGAGGACTACACGAGATAATATAAATGCAAATGGCTCATGTTTATGAAAACTGTAAAGCGCTCTATGTTAGCCATTGTCATTGCCACTTTTCTGGTAACTTTTGCTATGAGATAGACTTTTTTAAATGTACAACAATAACGAAAGAAGAAAGAGAAAGAAACAATATGAATTCTCAGGAATCAGATATCTTGACCAAGTTTTTGATGGGAATAATGATCAATTATGGAGAGAAAAAAGTATCTTTTAATAAAGAATAACAAAGATTATTATAAAAATTAGAAAAAAAATAAGAAAATATGCAACTTACAATATTTGAAAAACTGAGGTCAAGCTTCCATATGGCTCCATTGGAATCCTAAAAAATTAAATACCTAATAACGTTTTGTCTTATCACTTTGAAGTTTTACCAAATTAAAATAATTTTCTTCCTATGATTTAAAGTAAGGACAAACAATAATACTAAACACACGCACACACACACACACACACACACTCACACACACTAGAGGCCCAGTGCATGAAATTCATGTGCAGGTACAGTGCCTAGACCTGGCCTGTGATCAGGGCTATCTTCCCCAGCTGCCCACAGCTGGCCCTGCTCCCCATGGCCACCCACTCCTGGTTCCCTGTTCACTTTCAGGTGATCGGTGCCTGACGGCCAGGAGAAGGGACCGAGAAGTCAGTTGTTCCCACCTGCTCACTGGCTCCGCCCCCACCAAAGGTGGCCATCAGGTTATTAGAGCCTGCCGGGGGGTGGGGGGAGTGGAGGGGAAGGGAAGGGACCAAGAGGTGGTCAGTGTGCCTCATAGTGACTGGTCCAGAGGTCTTTCTGGTCATTCTGCTGTTAGGGTCAATTTGCATATTACCCATTTATTATATAGGATGTTTAAGTGTGCCTAAAATGTAACTAAATCAACTTCTATATATCTTAGAACACAACCACACTGTAAACACAGCAATCTCATTATACTTGTAGTTAGTTTAACATAATACAAATGCTCCTAACAGGTTTCCTGTGTATAAAATATATGTCAATTAAAATACCAAATTCAGGAACTCTTCATTCAGGTATCAATAGTAGTCTTAATAGTAAAATGGACTTATAATGACAATATATTATAATACCATTTTAAGTTTATGTCCAGGTAGTTTTAAAAGAGCCAAGAGGGAAGAATGCAATTTACCTGAGCCAACCAAAAGTTATTTCCAGCTTCGCTCATTTTTATCATGGAGAAGAGTTTAACATTCTTGTCCACTTGAAGTTCATTGATGGGCTCAATCTCTAGCAATCCAGTCTCGTCTACAATATCAGCAGTGTCTATGGTCTCAAAATCCCATATCTCATAAAATTAATAAGAAAATACCTTAGTCATACAGCAGTTTCTGAATTTGTTTTCTAAGCCAGAAAATAAATACCAAGACATTTCTTTGTATTTATAGAGATTTTTGAGAAAATACAACTCTGATTAAGAATTCCAATTTTCACCCTGACCAGTTTGACTCAGTGGATAGAGCGTCGGCCTGCAGACTGAAGGGTCCCAGGTTCGATTCCGGTCAAGGGCATGTGCCTTGGTTGCGGGCACATCCCCAGTGGGGGGTGTGCAGGAGGCAGCTGATCAATGTTTCTCTCTCATCGATGTGCCTAACTCTCTATCCCTCTCCCTTCCTCTCTGTAAAAAATCAATAAAATATATTTTTTAAAAAAGAATTCCAATTTTCCCAAAGTAATCTGTATTTCAAGGTTTCAGACAGGTCTTTTTGCACATGGAGTGGCTATCAGGAATAAATGGTTCGCTTGTTCAGCAAGACATCTAAGCCCTGTTTTATACACGTATACTAGTAGGCCCCTGGAAAGGGGAAATGGAACTTCTTTTTTTTAAAAAAAATATATTTTATTGATTTTTTACAGAGAGGAAGGGAGAGGGATAGAGAGCCAGAAACATCGATGAGAGAGAAACATCGATCAGCTGCCTCCTGCACACCCCCCACTGGGGATGTGCCCGCAACCAAGGCACATGCCCTTGACCGGAGTCGAACCTGGGACTCTTCAGTCTGCAGGCCGACGCTCTATCCACTGAGCCAAACCGGTTAGGGCGGAACTTCTTGCTTAATAATTCAAACATCATCTTCATTATAAGCAGAGAAAATGAATGTAGATGATGTGTTCATTAGAAAATATTCCTCTTACTTATCATAGATTTAAACTGTACTGTCCAAATAAGGATTGTTGTTCTTGGGATAGGAGACCAGAAAGCTACAGGAAGGATGAGGGCGCACAGTCACCTCATGTAGCAGAGAGACTTGGAAGGACTTCCTCTGTGACGTGCCAAGCCCAGTCTGGAGGTTCTGTTGACACATCCTGCCATGTCCTGGCCTCAATAACTCAGACTCTGGGAGGATTGGTGTTGTCCCATAGATTAGCCTTGTGGTGGGAGGCCCAGGTCTTAGGGCCAGACTAACGCCTGGGAGTGGGGTCAATTTTTCCTAATGGGAGTGAGGAGATGAGGGTGGACTTTGAAAAGAGAAGCAACCTTAAAATTAACAGTGTCCATGAAGGGATCCTCTGTGAAATACTCAACTTTTCTCTTGAGGATTTCGTACCTTGACATTTTGGGTGACACATCTTGGAAACATTGAATATACTGTATGACATAATAATAAGGACATAAACTATCTCTCAGGGTAATGAGTAAAATCTTACAAGATTAAATTTAATATGGTAAATGTAAAAAATTTATACTTGGGTTCAAAAAGCCAATGGTAAGAGGCAGAGGATATGGCATAAACAGTATATTAGACATAGTACGCTCTCTAGGTGTCAACAATGACCAGACTATTTAGGATGCAGTCTTATTTCTGGTAATCATACATCCTAAAGAATACCCAGAGAACACCACCACTTCCTTAGGAAAGGCCTGGGAAGGAGTCTGTACCAAGGGGACCACAAAACAAATCAGGAGGCTCCAAATTTGTCAGCAGTAGCAGGGTACACACACAGCGGTGTGACCACAACCAGGAGGAGCAACCTTCCAGCTTAGCCCACACTATGGGCAAGAGTGTGTCCAGAGGTGAGTTCACTAGTGTCAGGTGCAAGGAGGAGGGTGCATCCATAGCCAAACCCTCTCCTCTCACTTTTGAGTATATTCCTGATTAGTAACTCAGGAAAAAATAACCAAGCCTTGGCTGGGTGGCTTAATTGATTGGGGCATCATCCTGTACACCAAGAGGTTGTGGGTTCAATTCCAGGTCTAGGTACATAGCTAGGTTCCAGCTTTTATCCCTGCTCAGGGCTCAGAGGAGGCAACCAATTGATGTCTCTCTCTCTCTCTCTCTCTCTCTCTGTATCTCTCTCTGCTTGATCCCCTATTGGGCAGGCGGGGGGGAAGGGGAAAAAGTAGCCGATCAATGATGTTTCTATCTCCCTCCCTCCCTCCCTTCCTCTGTCTCTAAAAAAAATCAATAAAATCATATCCTCGGGTCAAGATTTACAAAAAGAAAAAACAACAACAAATGTTTGGCTCTTTTGTGCCTAGAAAATGACCTGTTCATAGCGGGCATTTTAGAAGAACATCTGTGTCCACTGTTTACACTGTGATAACATGGGCTTTCATTTTCTGATGCTACTATTTCAACAACAAAATCAACATAACAAAAGATCCCCTCAGAAAATTTCAGAGCTCAGATGCTGTAAATTAATTTTGAGTAGAATTCAAATATTTACCATAAGAAGAGCATTCTTTAAAATGAGTTGGCCCTGGGAGTAAATGGCCACTAATTTTCTTCATAAAGTGACCTTTCCAAGAAATAAAGAATGAATAGAACCAACTGGGTGATCTGCAAGGCTTAGATGTGGATGCTACTGTTCAAGAATCAAGAAAACTTACCCTAACCCATCCATCTGACCCAATGGTGATAACTTCCCCCTCGTCCAGCATTATCTGATTGATGGGGCCCTGGTGACAAAGTTTATTTCCAGTTCGAGTGAGCTCGACTTTGATGAGGCCAGCTTCCCAAACCAGCATGTTGCCCCATTCTGACCCAGACAGCACCTGGCAGGTGTGCACAAAGGAAGGAATGTGCATTAAGACAGACAAATGTGTATATTTATGACTCAAATAGCAGGAAAAATGATTTTTAAAAGATTATTTTTCTTGATTATGGAAGTAAAATTTTTTAAGACGGAAAAAATAAGAAAATATAGAAATGAAAATGCACTGCCCCAAGAAGAACCACTAATCCATTTTTATGTATTTCCTCTGAGGGTTATGCATCATTTTCATTATTGTGACTAGGTTGTATGCTGCTGGTATTTTTTCCAAACGTATCTTTTATATATTTCTTTGTACATGTCTTAAGGACATAATCCAGGAATGGGATTACTGGCTCAAAAATTAGAGGCATGTTTAAAGTTCTTGACAGATGAGATTCTACTTTTTAAGTATGATAATATCAACTATTATAAGATGTTTGATAATTTGTGAGGGCATTATTCAACTCAGAAGATTATATCATTAATAGTATCCAATTTCAAAGGATAGTCATCGGGAACCACCTCATGCTAATCCATTTAATCCAGCACTTCCCAAAGTACATACCACCAAACAGTAGTTCTTAGGACATTTAACAGGTGTTACCTAAAAGGTAATATTAATGGAGACCTTACATACATAAAGTTATGTAATCGTAACAACCATATCAACCAGGTACATTTATTGGGGATAATACGTACAGCTGTGCAAGTTGGGACTTTATTTCTCCAGGGGAGACAGTTTTTCTTTTCACACAAAACCATATGGGCCAGGGAAAGCCCTGACTATTATCATCTCCATTTTATAAGGAAAAAAAATTAAAGAACAGGACAGTTAACTAACTTGCCCAAAATTACTCAGAGGAGTCCAGATTCTAAACCAAGCACTGTGGCTCAAAAGCTCCTGCTCCAACTACCCAGCCTAAGGAGACAGATGCTGGATTAAACAAAGACAAACACATTTCTTTTCTCTAGGACTCCTTGGATGCTCTAACACAAAAGTGTTCACTGGGAATCAGCAAGAAGAATTTTAGCTAAGAAGGAATTTGAAGAGGAAGTCTTATTTTCATAGAGCTGCTATGCAGACAAATGCTCCATGGAATGCTCTTTGGGAAACTGACCTAATTCTTGCCAGCCTGCTCTAGGATTCTGCATCCCCACTTCCCTCTCACCCAGAGTAGCTTATGACCTCACTCAGTCTTTTCTACCTATTGGTCTACCTATTCTTATCTATTTTACCTATGAAGCTTCAGCCCATTTTTGGTAGAGTCTTCATTTACACGTGAAGGTTTCTTCTGTCGAGTGACCAAAGCCACGAAAGTTCACCAAAGCTTATATGGCATTCCTTTCTGAAATGTCATTCATGTCTAGCTTTCCTATTCCATTTGTCTTCAGGAAAGTCCAGGCCCTGATCACTGCTGCTTAGAGGAAAACAACATCTTCCTTCCTAGCTCATCTCTTTGACTCCAGATTTCCCTTCCTCTAATTCACCTGGCATTGTGTGGCCAAATGTATCTACAACTTCTTTCATTTGAAAGTCTACTCTTCCAATATATAATAGTTCTGCCTGGCTGTTAAACCCCTCATATGAAATCATTATTCTAATTAGTCTTTTAAATATCTGATACTTATTTCTAATGATAAGCATTTCCTTTTGTGGCTCTCTTATTTAAAAAGACTTCTTTTCTCCCCAACATCTACACAATCTCTACTGAACCTTTTAAAGATACATCTCACAACATGTTTTTAACAAGGGTTGTATTAATCTTTATGTAACTTAATTCTTACAGTATTCAGAATTTGAAGGTGGAATAATTTACAATCATCTTATAGGTTTAGATATACTATTGCCTAGCCAGCATCCAATGCTTTCTATTTCCTCCTACACGCCATGATTATAAATTAAGAACATCCTATCCCATTAGGTAGAGGACTAAACCATTTTGTTTCTTAGAGTAATATGTGTATACTGGCATTTACTTATAATTGAAATGATCACAAAAAATAATCCTAATAGGAAATTAAATACAATATTAATGGAGAACTAATTCTATGGGTAATATGCCTATATGCTTTGTAGAGGAAGAGAAGGAGTAATCTCACAATATGTTAAAATAAACTAACAGATTAAAGCTGCAGTGTTGCAGATATTACTATAAAGTTGCTCAATCTTGAATAATAATCTAACAATAAAAATAAAAGCCACAGATGCAAGAGAAAAGTGTCCTTGCCCTTTCTGTCTGTCTGATTGTGGCAGACAAGATTGAAAGGGGGAATACAGGAGGAAAAAATAAATAAAATAAAAAATAAAAGCCACAAGACAGTATATAACCTTTGACCTAGTAAATCCTCTTGAAGCGTCATGGAAAAGAAAAGAAGGGCAAGATAAACATTATAAACACTGCAACTCCATGACAAGTAAATGTGACAAGGATATCATTATATTAATTGAGGAAAATGTCTGCATATTGTGTATAATATTTATTAAAAACAAAATAGCAAGCCCTAGCCTGTTTGTTTCAGTGAATAGAGTGTCAGCCTGTGGACGGAAGGGTCCCAGGTTCAATCTGGTCAAGAGCCCATACCTCGGTTGCAGGTTCCTCCCTGGTCAGGGCCCAGGCTGAGTGCAGGAGGCAACCAATCGATGTGTTTCTCTCACATGGATATTTCTCTCTGTCTTTCCCTCTCTCTTCCACTCTCTCTAAAAATCAATGGAAAAATATCCTTGGGTGAGGTTTAAGAAAAACAAAACAGCAAGTGATAGGTGCAGTGGGTTATGACAATTCCATGGAAATATATTAATTAAAGTGATCATCTGAAGAGGCAGAATTAAATGTTCACTATATTCACAATTACAGTATCTGTTATTGCTAATAAAGGCAGTGCTTTTTAGAATGTATAATGTGCCTTCATATGTGCATGTCACTTGAAGACATAATTTTATCATTGTACTCACCTTCCCATCTGGGAGCTCCATGTAGCCTTCTATATCAGTAGTGGCTGTTTTGCCAAATCGACCTAGGAAGCCCTGAAGCTTGAGACCAGTGAATGTTTGAGCCATTTCCCAGAATCTGCAGACAAGAGAGAGACTGAATGTACCTACCTCAACGCATTTATATACTTCATAGTCACATATATTATTGCCTTCATTCATTCATGTGATTAATATGCCAAAAGGGCTTATCCATCATACATTATTGCTTCAAACAACAAATTTAATAGGCAATGTGAAAGTTCAATATGAATTTGGAAATACTATGCCAACTTTAGGCAGGCAATGTACGAACTGTTTTAGGAGGTAACGCCTGTAAGACGACAGCAGGCTAACTTTAAAAGCCCCTTTTTTTGTCCGTGCTGTCTGCAGTAATAAATCACCATATTGAATTAGTTAACTTTAAAAAGAACACATTTTAAAGATATCTTAATGTTAACAACATCAGCAAAAATGTCTCCAGCTGGTCGATTCCCTTAGAAAATACCCTCACTATAATCTCCTAGCACCTGTACAGTCACACACATACTTGATGTGGCCCGATCCTGCTGTAGTAAGCTGCTCGTCATCTTCAGGATTGAAAGTAACCTTAAAGACTTCCTGGGAAAAAGCTTTTGTCCTCAGTATGGGCTGTTCCTCTTTCCAATCCCAGATGGTCAAAGTATAATCAGGGCTGCTACCAACAGAGGCCAGCAGTGTCCCGCTGTAGTTAAAGTCCACGTAAGCATAGCCTAAGTCAGCCCCATCTGAAATGCAAGTGATGAACAGACGCAATATTTATTTCTTTTTCAAAAGTGTATGATTTAAAACACACACACAGTAGAGATGAAAGAGAACAAGAGAGGGAGGGTGGGAGGGAGGGAGAGAGAGAGAAGGAGAGAGAGAGACCTTCATGATGTGTATTGATGGAACAATGCCAAGATTTTAAAACACAGACACACAGGAGAGAGACAAAACAAGAGAGAGAAAGACAGAAAGAGAAGGAGAAAGAAAGTGCCTCTGATGATGTG